TTAGAGATGCACGTCCGAAACGAGGCTCTTTTTGATGTTCCAGAATAAGCGATATTTGCAACTGCATGTCAGTATCGAGAATACCACTACCTTCAAAATAGCGACCATGGTTTTGATTTTAGTTCGGATTTTTCCCTCTTTCTAAACTTTATATAGCATCCCAGGATTTGACTGAGCAGACCAACACGTCTCGTTCACCGTTGTAAAATACTTCAAATATGCAATCTTCTCTCGCTATACCGATTCACAGTATCCTTTTCTTGTCGGCTGAAACAGAAGCACGCATCAGTCTTCTTGACGCAAACATTATAACATTATAGGCTAGCTCCAACAGCAGCGTTGCACATGCTTTAAGGCATGGACAGGCATCTTCGGGAGCCGCTCAATTACAACATTTCGACGTCATTCATATGTTCAGAGTTCGTTACAAGTACTGTTTGGACTCTCTCAAGTACTGTTTGGGCTCTCTTGATTCCTCCAGACGTGAAACCGCAGAAAAGTGGGAACAGCATCCCGAATTGACGAATTTTATTGTGTTTAAACTAGCAATGAGTGATGCTTCGATTCTGACGCATATTTTGTTGCCTAGGAAAGAACATCTATCAGCTTTGTCATTGCCTGTTTAATTCTTTAATGACGAATCACTCCATGTTTGCTGTCCAAGAACTTAATCAAAACATGTCCAACGTACATAAATATATATTTCAGCTAACTTCAAACTGACTTCACTTTCCTAAAATCCACATAAAAGTTCAAGTGCTACGGCTGTAGTAGAAAGATTCCATTGCAGCAAACTCAACTGGGTACAGCGTCTATTAATACTGCTTGGGCAGTATCAAGAAGTATTACCCTTGATGCAGCGAACATGGCACAAGTTGGCATTCACCTCCAAGAATTCTTGGCAAACTGCAGAACAAAGGAAATATCTGGAGAACGATTTTGTACAAAAACCATTATATGTATATGACATCTAAATGTAATAGGCAGGCAAGAACAAAGCCAAATCACGGTTCTGCGACGTACCACAGGTTCAAAAGCTGAACGTACAAAAATAACACTAGCAGTAACAACCAACAAAAGTCTGATGTAAAATTTTGTGACCTGCAAAACGTCTGAATGAACCCAAGCGTGAGAACTGCGGAATTCCATGGTCACCGCGTCCTTGCAGATCGATTTTAGATTCGGTTGGATCGAAACAGTAACTATGGATCAACACAGACTACTGTCAAGAAATCTTCAATTTTTAAAGACATCGCCACAGAATCTGTATATAAGCGTGGCACTGGCTTTAAAAGAAAAATACTCTAAACGCACAGAAATAATCGCCATTAAAAGTAAGTACGGTGACTCAGTATGGTCAACACGGTTATGGATCTGGTGAAAATTACAGCAGTTCTAAAAGACAAAAATAATTTGGAACCTGGATGTATGAAACCCTGTTCACTAAACAAGCATCTTTTAACAGGAAAATTGACAGACCGCCTCTCTGGAATCTTGCTGCATCCGTATGCGATCTATCTGCGCACTAGTACCTACAGTATCACATTAATTTTCAGGCAATTACAAACTATATCATTATGCAAAATCTGCTCCTACTCTCTGACCAAATACAGCTCTTCATTTTCGCTTGACGGTAATTAAGTACACGCGAATATAAGTGAATCTTGAAATAGATCATATAAATCACTCATATAATAAAGTACGCCATAAATTATGCTTCAGTACACGAGGGGTTTTCTACCAATTACGCCTTTTATTAAATGCTGATGAGCACATCAGCTAATTGAGGATAGATTAATAATTAATGGTTATCAGATCAGTAGTTTTCTTCTAACCAGTTAAAGAGAAGAATCAGAAAGAAACGGAGGTAACATAAGATCATTCGTATGCGGTTTGACGATTTAACAGCTGGACAAGCTGTTCGTCAAAAGCAGTTTCAAGGAATCTGGACACTGCATTTGAATTAAACTACACAAATATTAGTTTAGATGAATATATCTTCTTGTTTTATCTTCTAAACAGTTTATTTCGGAATCAAAGAGTGCACCAATGTTCTTATTCTACCGTAAGGTCTGTAAGCCATCTGTGAGAAATTTCAAACCTGTTGTAATGGCGCTCTTGTTTGTTCAATGACCAATCTTTTGTGTGCTTGGACCACTGCTTTTTCCTGATGCATACTTGAATGATCCTTGCACCATTGCAAAGTCGGAAAGTATGTCTAAAAAGTTGTTACAGGATTCATGACTTCAACTGGCATACATCTATTTAAAATTTAATTGCGCTACAGTTGAAGCAATGCGAAGCTGAATTTTTAAGTTACTTCCGGACTACTGATTTTGTTCAGTTATCTCACAATGGAATATTAATGGCGCCCCGTATTAATGTAGGTACAGTTACATCATATTTTTATTTGTCCATGAAATCCACATCTGATAAAAGTAGACATTGGCTTCTCCGATATTCCTGTCACTCCGTAGTTGATAAACTCCAAATGAATCGACACTCCATGCCTTGTTTATGCTGAAATGTTGCAAAGAATCACTTCTTCACATGTTGGCCTTTGCAATCGAGAAACGTACATTTCTTTCGCTCGAGGTCGATGTGTGCAGCTGATCGTCGCCTGAGTCTAGATGTGACTATATGGAGATCACTCAGTACAGGCGCCAAGTTTGAATCAAGCTCGCTATCTACGACTGATTAAGATATATTCACTTAAGTCTGCAGGCTTTCATCAGAAGATTTCTACATCTTCTTCGTCTTCCAAGAGCGCTTCTCCTTCCGGGTCACGGAGGGAGGTGCGTCGGACAGCCCTTCCGTCGTTCCCGGTCTTGTGTCAGAGTTCCA